GCAATCAAAACACTGGAACCGGCTTTTCAACAGGCTGGATGACAATTTATAGGCGATTCGACGGTTCCGAAAACTTCAATCGTAGCTGGAGTGATTATAAAAACGGTTTTGGACACCCTAATAAAGAATTTTTTGTTGGACTCGAAAATTTGTATCTCACGACCTATGAACGACCCCACGAACTTTACATCAAATTAAAAAGAAATGATAAAGTCATTGGATACTGGTATTACGATAATTTTACTATTGGCAGCGAGAAGGAATCGTATCCGCTAAAGTCTTTGGGAAAATATTGTGGTACATTACCACATGACTTATTTTCTATTCTTGAGAACAAGGAATTTACCACATTTGATCGAGGCAATTCTAAACGCTATTGCGTTTTCTTTGATATAGGAGCTTGGGGAAAACAATGTGGATCGAGGTAATAAAGTACACTGAAAATCTATTTACTTCTTATATTTAAACATTTTAAATTGCAGTTGGCTGAATATAAAATATTACTATATCAATTGGGGTGTAACAAGCCCGTTCGCAAGTGAAATGATGATAAGGCCAAAGATCCAATTAACAAGCGGTTGTATAAGTGAAAAAAACAACAACAAAACCCTTGCTAACATCACAAATGTTGAGTAAGATGGCAAGGCCTTATTTGAACGTGCTGTTAGTCAATATCGGATTTATAGAATAAATGATATGTGATGATTTAGCTAGAATAAATGATACAATTTCTTCCAAAAATCAATCTTCTATGATTTAAAACAATTGTTATAATTTTTGTTCCATTAATTAATGTTTATATATGTAGAAGAGTATAAAACTATGTTATTCTACTCATCTCTATGCATTTGTTAGTTTTGTCAAATGAGAATAAAACGATTTCGAATAATGTTTATATAATCATCAGATAAGATATGAATCCCGTTTGTATAGGTGATGTAAACAGGTAGGAGTGCCAGGAATGGATGGTCAAGGTGTATGCGAAGTGCCGGGATCTCTTTGGGACTCAAGGTGCGGCTTCCGTTGGCTGGGTTGTCGATAGCCACGCCCCCGCTGTTTTCAAGGCGGATGTTGAGGCGATGACCGCCGTGGACTGCCGTCGCTTAAGGCGGGAATTGGTCGAGAAAGACGAGGGGGAGGGCTTAAAGAACTATGAATATAACAAGGCATCCATAGTTAAAAAAATTACTAAAACTTAAAAAATAAATAAAAATTGAATTTAGCCAAGTCACTACAAACAACCCTTCGCATGTATAATACATATTATATAATATTTATAGAACATTTAATAACATGAATGAACAACACAATAAAAATTTGTTGTACTTTTTATGTTTTTTATATTATTTTTATATTTTATATTGAATTTTTTCTTTTTAAGAAGGAACAAAAAAATAACTCCAGGCGAAATTGGAGATGTTTAAAAATACCGCTAGGTGGCGGTATCGAGGTACGAATCTTACACCGGGGGGAGGCAGAGAATTTTGGATATTCCCCTATCCATTTATACCGGAAGCGCCAAGTGTCGCTTTGTAAGAAAAAATTCCTAAAAACTTAGAGAAAAAAATATCCTTAATTTATACAACCACCATTAAGGCTTAAGCCCGATTCAAGTTTGTTTTGATTTTCACAATTAGTTATCGTATCAATTTTAGTATCAACAAAGGTTTTGCAGTCTTTACGTCAGCTGATAAGGTGCTCTATGTATTTCTTATCACGGAGAAATTTTGGCAAAACCCCGAGGAGTGTGTTTCAAAATTGTAGAGCTTAGTTCAGTCTTGAGTAGATTGTGAACGTTTCACGTTTCAACGCGCATAATGAATTCGAGCCTTTTCGTTCTCTTTTTTGGCCTGTTTCTTCTGGGAGAGAGCACAACTTCTAGTTGCAGATACTCTTAAAGAAATAAAGATCGTGTTAAATAATAAAGACGAGTCTCACTTCACCAAAGACCAGTGCAATGCGCATTGTTGGTCGTCGATTACGACAGAATTTACCAAAGCGGAACTTAACAAAAAATTTGACGCGTTGACAACCAATAACTCGAAATTGCAGGTCAAGTTACAAGATGCTTACGATGATATCAACACAAACTATTTGATTTCGAGTCATAAAAATGATGAAATTAAGAATATTACTCAACAACTGATTAATAAGGATGGTCAAATTAAGCTGCTCAGGGATAAACAAACTTTGCTGACAAAAACTGCTAAGAAACTGGAAAAAGAATTATTAGTCGCAAAAAACACAATCAAAACGTGTAATGATCAAATAAAAAACGAAACAGATCAGATTAATGTCATAACTGAATTGAATAAGGTTCAACAAGAATTCAAAAACTTAAAGAACAGTGCAGAAAATTCCGATTCGATGTGCAATCAAAACACTGGAACCGGCTTTTCAACAGGCTGGATGACAATTTATAGGCAATTCGACGGTCCCGAAAACTTCAATCTTAGCTGGAGTGATTATAAAAACGGATATGGAAACCCTAATGATGAATTTTTTGTTGGACTCGAAAATGTGTATCTCGCGACCTATAAACGACCCCACGAACTTTACATCAAAGGAGCTCATGAACACACTGATTATTTGTACTACAATAACTTTACTATTGGCAGCGAGAAGGAATCGTATGCGATAAAGTCTTTGGGAAAACATTCTGGCACACTAACACATCGCTTATTTTCTTCCTTTGAGAGCAAGAAATTCACCACACTTGATCGAGGCAATTCTCAACGCTATTGCGTTTTCTTTGATATAGGAAATTGGGGAAAACAATGTGGATCGAGGTAATAAAGTTCATTGAAAATCTATTTACTTCTTATATTTAAACATTTTAAATTGCAGTTGGCTGAATATAAAATATTACTCTATCCATCGGGGTGTAACAAGTGCGTTCGCAAGTGAAATGATGATAAGGCCAAGGATCCAATTAACAAGCGGTTGTATAAGTGAAATAAACAACAACAAAACCCTTGCTAACATCACAAATGTTGAGCAAGATGGCAAGGCTTTACAACACGGACTATTTGAACGTATTTCTAGTCTATTTCGGAATTTCCATCTAAATGATACAATTTATTCCAAAAATCAATCTTGTATGATTTAAAACAATTGTTATAATTTTTGTTCCATTAATTAATGTTTATATATGTAGAAGGGAATAAAACTATGTTATTCTACTCATCTCTATGTTTTTGTTAGTTTTGTCAAATGTAAATAAAGCGATTTCGAATAATGTTTATAGTGAAGGAATCATCCGACAAGATATGAATCCCGTTTGTATAGCTGATGTAAACAGGCCGGAGTGCCAGAAATGGATGGTCAAGGTGTATGCGAAGTGCCGGGATCTCTTTGGGACTCAAGATGCGGCTTCCGCTGGCTGGGTTGTCGATAGCCACGCCCCCGCTGTTTTCAAGGCGGCTGTTGAGGCGATGACCGCCTTGTATTGCCGTCGCTTGAGGCGGGATATGGCCGAGGAGGAAAAATTACTAAAACTTAAAAAAAAAAAAAGGTAGCTAGCTTCGGCAAGCTTGCAGTCATCAAATATGTCGATCAAAATGCATAAAGGCTAAACAACATCGAAGCTATGACGATTTTTTCTATAAATTTTCCATATTTTCGACTATTGTTTATATGGCAGCTATATGATATAGTCGTCTGATTTTGATGAAATTTAATTCGTAATTCAAGAGTCAATAGACTCTCCAATGAAAAACAACGATGTTATAATTTTAGTTCCGTTATTTCTATATAGATTTTTCGGTCTTTCCTATTGCAGCTATATGATAGAGTTATTCGATTTTGATAAAATTTGATCAAAAATTCAAAAGTAGTTATAAAACGCCATCTGGAAGAAATCCAGTCGATCTGATCAAAAACAACGGCGTGAGAATTTTTTATTTCATTCTCTCGTATGGGAGCTATCCGATATAGTCGGCCGATCCGGCCCGATCCGACTTATATACTTCGTGCAATAACTACACAACTTTTGGTAAAGTTTCAGCAAGAGAGCTTTAAAACTGAGAGACTAGTTTGCGTAGAAACGGACAGACGGACAGACGGACAGACAGACAGACGTACAGACTTATTTGGATTCAGATGGTGATGCTGATCAAGAATTTATATACTTTATGGGGTCTGAGGTGTCTCCTTCACTGCGTTGCAAACTTCTGACTGAAATTATAATACCCTTTTGCTCTGCAAGGGTAAAATAAAAACTGATTTTTAGCCAAGTCACTACAACCAGCCATTTATATATATATTCATATATGAATATTTATATATGATTTTCACAAGTGGTTATCGAATCCATTTTAGTATCAACAAAGCTTTTTGCAAGCTTGAAGTCAGGTGATAAAGTGCTCTAGGTTCTCTATGTATTTCTTATCTCAGAGAAATTTTGGCAAAACCCCGAGGAGTGTGTTTCGAAATTGTAGAGCTCAGTTCAGTCTTAAGTAGATTGTGAAACGATTCAAACGCGCATAATGAAGTCGAGCCACTTCGTTCTCTTTTTGGCCTGTTTACTCTGGGAGAGAGCACCACTTCTAGTTGCAGATCGTCTTAAAGAATATAAGTTCCTGTTAAATGATAAAGAGGAGTCGCACTTTACCAAAGACCAGTGCAATGCGCATTGTTGGTCGTCGATGATGCCAGCACTTACTAACAACGCGGAACTGAACAAAAAAATAGACACGTTGACAACCGCTAACACGCAATTGCAGGTCAAGTTATCAGACGCTGTCGGTGATATCAAGACCAACTCTTTGAATGTGCATTTTAAAAATGAAGAAATCAAGAATATTACTCAACAACTGAAAGATAAGGATGGTCAAATTGAGCTGCTCAAGGATAAAGAAACTTCTCTGACAGAAACTGTTAAGAAACTGGAAAAAGAATTAGCAGTCGCAAAAGAAACAATCAAAATGTGTAATGATCAAATAAAAAAACGAAACTGATCAGATTAATGTTATAACTGAATTGAATAAGGTTCAACAAGAAATCAAAAACTTAAAGAACAGTGCGGAAAAATCCGAATCAATTTGCAATCAAAACACTGGAACCGCATTTTCAACAGGCTGGATGACAATTTATAGGCGAATCGACGGTTCCGAAAACTTCAATCGTAGCTGGAGTGACTATAAAAACGGATTTGGAAACCCTTATAAAGAATTCTTTGTTGGACTCGAAAAACTGTATCTTGCAACCTATGAACGACCCCACGAATTTTACATCAAATTAGAAAGACTATATTCCCCTTGTTACTTGTACTATAGTAACTTTACTATTGGCAGCGAGAAGGAATCGTATGCGATAAAGTCTTTGGGAAAATATTCTGGTACATTACCACGGAACTTATATTCTGCCTTTGAGAACAAGGAATTCACCACATTTGATCGAGGCAATTCTCAATACTCTTGCATTACCGATTTTGATTACAGGATGGGACGATGTGGTTCAAGGTAATAAGGTTCATTGAAAATCTATTTACTTGTAATAATTAAACATTTTCAATTGCAGTTGGCTAAATACAGAATATACCTCTTTAGATAATATATTAAGAAGCAGACTTGGTTCGGGCAGGTTATTAATTAAAATTGAAATGATGATAAGGCCAAAGATCCAATTAACCAGCGGTTGTATAAATGAAATCAACAAAAACAATTCCCTTGCTGACATCACAAATAAGTAAAATACCCTCTGGAAGAGTATAATATCTTTTGAAATCTACTCATCTCTATGTATTTGTTAGGTTTGTCAAATGAGAATAAAGCGATTTCGAATAATGTTTATAGTGAAGTAATTATCAGATAAGATATGAATCCCGTTTGTATAGCTGATGTAAACAGGCCGGAGTGCCAGGAATGGATGGTCGAGGTGTATGCGAAGTGCCGGGATCTCTTTGGGACTCAAGACTTTTTATTGTCGATAGCCACGCTCCCGCTGTATTCAAGGAGGATGTTGAGGCGATGACCGCCGTGGACTGCCGTCGCTTAAGGCGGGAATTGGCCGAGAAAGACGAGGGGGAGGGCTTAAAAAACTATGAATATAACAAGGCATCCACAATTAAAAAAATTACTAAAACTTAAAAAATAAATAAAAATTGAATTTAGCCAAGTCACTACAAACAACCCTTCGCATTCAATATATTTTATATTATATTTATAGAACATTTAATAACATGAATTAACAATACAATAAAAATTTGACTTTTTATGTTTTTTATATTATTTTTATATTTTATATTTAATTTTTTCTTTTTTTAAGAAGGAACAAAAAAATAACTCCAGGCGAAATTGGAGATGTTTAAAAATACCGCTAGGTGGCGGTATCGAGGTACGAATCTTACACTGGGGGAGGCAGAGAATTTTGGATATTCCCCTATCCATTTATACCGGAAGCGCCAAGTGTCGCTTTGTAAGAAAAAATTCCTTAAAAAAAAAAAGAAAAAAAGGGGTGTGTCCAGCCTACGCACGACAGAAGTGAAACTTCTTCATCACTACTCATTTTTAAAATTGAAATTCTGTAGGAAACCGAATAAAAGCCTTTTTAGACGCTTAATTTTAGAGGTCTCGAAATGTGCTGGCGACTCTCAAAAGTTAACAAACCGATTGAGAAGAAGAAGAAGACAAATACATATCGATATGTGTTTTCATTTCTAGGTCAAATAAAATGGATAGAAATTATGGTGCCAATTAATATCTGTATGCAACCTGTTCGATTTGAATTCCTTTTGACATTCACACCACTCACCCCTTTTTCAACTGCAACCGCATTCTACAGTAGAATCCTGTTACATATGTAAGGATTGACAATCTCCCAAAATTGAATTTTTAGCCCGGGCCCCAGACTACCTCTGTGCGACAGAATTGTTCGGGCTTACTCCCTATCGACCCGAACGCTCGGGTTTTCGTAGGAAAACACTCTTTCTCTCGCTCTAATTGTAGTGTCGATAGGGGACTGACGAGCCGACGAGACTACCTTGTATAATTGTACCATGACTCAGGCGCGGTAGAAAGAGTGGGAGATACTAGTTCCTCTCCCTTTCCCACGATCTTACGCTTTTTCGATCAGCATAACGGGACTCTGACGCGAGTTTGAAAGTTTTTACCCATACAAAAAAGTGCTCAGCGCCGCTAAAGAAGTTTTTACTTCAAAAAAATTCTAATTGTATTTCCCCCTTAATATATGATTTTCACAAGTGGTTATCGAATCCATTTTAGTATCAACAAAGCTTTTTGCAAGCTTGAAGTCAGGTGATAAGGTGCTCTAGGTTCTCTATGTATTTGTTATCATGGAACAATTTTGGCAAAACCCCGAGGAGTGTGTTTCAAAATTGTAGAGCTTAGTTCAGTCTTGAGTAGATTGTGAAACGATTCAAACGCGTATAATGAAGTCGAGCCACTTCGTTCTCTTTTTGGCCTGTTTACTCTGGGAGAGAGCACCACTTCTAGTTGCAGATCGTCTTAAAGAATATAAGTTCCTGTTAAATGATAAAGAGGAGTCGCACTTGACCAAAGACCAGTGCAATGCGCATTGTTGGTCGTCGATGATGCCAGCACTTAATAACAACGCGGAACTGAGCAAAAAAATAGACGCGTTGACAACCAATAACACGCAATTGCAGGTCAAGTTATCAGATGCTTACGGTGATATCAAGACCAACTCTTTGAATGTGCATTTTAAAAATGAAGAAATCAAGACTATTACTCAACAACTGAAAGATAAGGATGGTCAAATTGAGCTGCTCAAGGATAAAGAAACTTCTCTGACAGAAACTGTTAAGAAACTGGAAAAAGAATTAGCAGTCGCAAAAGAAACAATCAAAATGTGTAATGATCAAATAAAAAACGAAACTGATCAGATTAATGTCATAACTGAATTGAATAAGGTTCAACAAGAAATCAAAAACTTAAAGAACAGTGCGGAAAAATCCGAATCAATTTGCAATCAAAACACTGGAACCGAATTTTCAACAGGCTGGATGACAATTTATAGGCGATTCGATATGGGTCCCGAAAACTTCAATCGTAGCTGGAGTGACTATAAAAACGGATTTGGAAACCCTAATAAGGAATTCTTTGTTGGAATGGAAAATTTGTATCTCGCGACCTATGAACGACCACACGAACTTTACATCAAATTAGAAACAACTTATTTCACTATTTACTTGCACTATAGTAACTTTACTATTGGCAGCGAGAAGGAATCGTATGCGATAAAGTCTTTGGGAAAATATTCTGGTACATTACCATGGGACTTATATTCTACCTTTAAAAACAAGGAATTCACCACATTTGATCGAGGCAATTCTCAATACTCATGCATTTTCAATTCGGATTACAGGATGGAACGATGTGGTTCAAGGTAATAATGTTCATTGAAAATCTATTTACTTGTAATAATTAAACATTTTCAATTGCAGTTGGCTTAATACCGAATATATCAGTTTTCATATTGATTCCGGACACAGATTTATTCGTGAAACGTTTTTAAATAAATTTGAAATGATGATAAGACCAAAGATCCAATTAACCAGCGGTTGTATAAATGAAATCAACAAAAACAATTCCCTTGCTGACATCACAAATAAGTAAAATACCCTCTGGAAGAGTATAATATCTTTTGAAATCTACTCATCTCTATGTATTTGTTAGGTTTGTCAAATGTGAATAAAGCGATTTCGAATAATGTTTATAGTGAAGTAATCATCAGATAAGATATGAATCCCGTTTGTATAGCTGATGTAAACAGGCCGGAGTGCCAGGAATGGATGGTCGAGGTGTATGCGAAGTGCCGGGATCTCTTTGGGACTCAAGACTTTTTATTGTCGATAGCCACGCTCCCGCTGTATTCAAGGAGGATGTTGAGGCGATGACCGCCGTGGACTGCCGTCGCTTAAGGCGGGAATTGGTCGAGAAAGACGAGGGGGGAGGGCTTAAAGAACTATGAATATAACAAGGCATCCATAGTTAAAAAAATTACTAAAACTTAAAAAAAAAAATAAGATTTGAATTTAGCCAAGTCACTACAAACAACCCTTCGCATGTATAATACATATTATATAATATTTATAGAACATTTAATAACATGAATGAACAACACAATAAAAATTGGTTGTACTTTTTATGTTTTTTATATTATTTTTATATTTTATATTGAATTTTTTCTTTTTAAGAAGGAACAAAAAAATAACTCCAGGCGAAATTGGAGATGTTTAAAAATACCGCTAGGTGGCGGTATCGAGGTACGAATCGTACACTGGGGGAAGCAGAGAATTTTGGATATTCCCTACCCATTTATACCGGAAGCGCCAAGTGTCGCTTTGTAAGAAAAAATTCCTAAAAACTTAGAGAAAAAATATCCTTAATTTATACAACCACCATTAAGGCTTAAGCCCGATTCAAGTTTGTTTTGATTTTCACAATTAGTTATCGTATCAATTTTAGTATCAACAAAGGTTTTGCAGGCTTTAAGTCAGCTGATAAGGTGCTCTATGTATTTCTTATCACGGAGAAATTTTGGCAAAACCCCGAGGAGTGTGTTTCAAAATTGTAGAGCTTAGTTCAGTCTTGAGTAGATTGTGAACGGTTTACGTTTCAACGCGCATAATGAATTCGAGCCTTTTCGTTCTCTTTTTTGGCCTGTTTCTTCTGGGAGAGAGCACCACTTCTAGTTGCAGATACTCTTAAAGAAATAAAGATCGTGTTAAATAATAAAGACGAGTCTCACTAGACCAAAGACCAGTGCAAAGCGTATTGTTGGTCGTCGATTATGCCAGCACTTCATACCTACGCGGAACTGAGCAAAAAAGTAGACACGTTGACAACCGCTAACACGCAATTGCAGGTCAAGTTATCAGACGCTGTCGGTGATATCAAGATCAACTCTTTGAATGTGCATTTTAAAAATGAAGAAATCAAGACTATTACTCAACAACTGAAAGATAAGGATGGTCAAATTGAGCTGCTCAAGGATAAAGAAACTTTTCTGACAGAAACTGTTAAGAAACTGGAAAAAGAATTAGCAATCGCAAAAGAAACAATCAATCAATCAAAAAAATCAGTGCTCAAATAAAAAACGAAACTGATCAGATTAATGTCATAACTGAATTGAATGAACCTCCACAAGAAATCGAAAATTTAAAGGAAAGTGAGGAATGGAACGCAATGGAGATTAACCAACTTTTCGACGAGCTGGAAGGAAAACTTCAATCGTAGCTGGACTGATTATAAAAACGGATTTGGAAACCCTAATAAAGAATTCTTTGTTGGACTCGAAAAATTGTATCTCGCAACCTTTGAACAACCCCACGAACTTTACATCAAATTAGAAAGAGCTCATTTCACTACTTACTTGTACTATAGTAACTTTACTAATGGCAGCGAGAAGGAATCGTATGCGATAAAGTCTTTGGGAAAATATTCTGGTACATTACCACGGAACTTATATTCTGCCTTTGAGAACAAGGAATTCACCACATTTGATCGAGGCAATTCTCAATACTCTTGCATTACCGATTTTGATTACAGGATGGGACGATGTGGTTCAAGGTAATAAGGTTCATTGAAAATCTATTTACTTGTAATAATTAAACATTTTCAATTGCAGTTGGCTAAATACCGAATATATCAGTTTATATTTTAAAGCCGGACACAGACTTCTTGAAAAGTTTTTAAATTAAATTGAAATGTTGATAAGGCCAAAGATCCAATTAACCAGCGGTTGTATAAATGAAATCAACAAAAACAATTCCCTTGCTGACATCACAAATAAGTAAAATACCCTCTGGAAGAGTATAATATCTTTTGAAATCTACTCATCTCTATGTATTTGTTAGGTTTGTCAAATGTGAATAAAGCGATTTCGAATAATGTTTATAGTGAAGTAATCATCAGATAAGATATGAATCCCGTTTGTATAGCTGATGTAAACAGGCCGGAGTGCCAGGAATGGATGGTCAAGGTGTATGCGAAGTGCCGGGATCTCTTTGGGACTCAAGGTGCGGCTTCCGTTGGCTGGGCTGCCGATAGCCACGTCCCCGCTGTTTTCAAGGAGGATGTTGAGGCGATGACCGCCGTGGACTGCCGTCGCTTAAGGCGGGAACT